AATTAATAAGCCATAGCAATTCTTGCAGAGCTGTGCACTCTTTGGTAACAGCAACATAAGCTCCCATGATTACTGGCTTTATGCAGACAAAAGTCAGGGTCAGAGGTCACATCAGGACAATGGATACAACTAAATGCTTCTTGGTCTCCAGCATGATGCATTATTGAGACATACTAGGGAATAAATAAACACACAAAACTTTTCATTTACTTTCTTTATCTGTTTATTTCACATTGCAGGGTCAGGACAATTTGGTCTCACGCTGAGGTGGAAATGCAAAGAAGGAAGTCATTCTCTAGCTGTGGGAAATAAAAATCTAAGATAGAGAGTTGTTTTCTTTCCCAGGCTGCTGCTGCTGATGTTGCCGCTTGTTTCTTAACAGAATTTAGGGTGATTAATCATTCATTTCCAGCATCTGTGCACCCTTGCTAAAACAGGCAGTGGGCCCAACAAGCTGATGGAGCTCTCATTTATGTTGTTTGTAGAATCTGAACAGATACGGCACCGCTCTCTACTGATTATTTATTTATTTATTTATTTGTTTATTTATCAGGGACAATGCATATTAATGAACAGTGAACTGTAAATATACCGGAATTAGCCAAAAGGCTAGTTTTCATCCGCAGTCCCTGGCCAGATCTGAGTTGGCAGCCTAAGTAATAAAAAAGAAGTTTTAGAAGTTTAAAACAATATCATTGCATGCAGTTTAAGATATAAGATAAAAATATAGTAACAGGTAAACATAGCAACTCAAACATAAAAGCAGAGCAAGCCAAGACTACAAATAACAATTACAAAGCAGCCTAATTCACAAGAAACAAACATAGACTGCGACAAACAACAGCAAGACAGACATAAGCAAAAGAATATGGCAGGCAGGCAGTTGTTAAAGAGCGGACAGAGGCAGCAGTTGAGTATTAATGTGTACAGGTTTGATTGTTGATGAGCCATGATTTCAACTGTCACCTCACAGCAAGAGGAACAAGGAGCCCTTCTGTGCAGAGTTTGCATGTTCTCCCAGTGTCAGCGTGGGTTCTCTCCGGGCACTCCGGCTTCCTCCCACAGTCCAAAGACATGCAGATTGGGGACTAGGTTAATTGATAACTCTAAATTGTCCGTAGGTGTGAATGTGAGCGTGAATGGTTGTTTGTCTCTATGTGTCAGCCCTGTGATAGTCTGGCGACCTGTCCAGGGTGTACCCTGCCTCTCGCCCGATGTCAGCTGGGATAGGCTCCAGCCCCCCCGCGACCCTCAAGAGGATGAAGCGGTTAGAAGATGAATGAACTTGCATTTTTTTCCCTGACAGCATTATGACTGGTTCTGAGGTGGTAGATGGATTTTTAGAGAAAAACATGCTGACAGTTTTAGTTGTGTTGAGTTGAAGGCATGATTGGTTTAGCCAGTTTGTGATGTGGTACAGTGCATTAGTGAGTTTTGTGACAGCATGTTGTTTTGTGCTGCTATGGGCATAAATCACTGCATTATCAGCATATAGCTGGGTCTCCACGTCAGAGCACACAGAGGGCAAGTCATTTATATAGAGACTGAACAGAAGTGGTCCTAGTACAGACCCTTGTGGGACACCAGTGCAAGTTTTAAGAGCGGCCGATTGGTAGTTGTGGACCTTTACACACTGGGTTCTGGTGTGTAAACACCAAGGAGGAGAGCGGCATCACTGATTTATTTATATTTCTCTTCTTCCCCTGCTTTTTGTCTGCACACACATTGCACCCTGACATGTTTTATCCTTGTCCAGTCAGTCTGGTCATAGCCTCTGGGCTGCAGAGTACCACAGATCAGAGAGGCTATAGCTCAGAGGCAGAATACACCCAGCTTTAACTCATGGTCATGCCATACCTTAGAAAGGTGACGCCAAATGCTGAGAATCATAATTAATTCTGCAACTTGAAGGCCACCCTGCTTTTATACCAATAATAGCAGTACAAATAGCCAAATATGTTTGAGGTGATTAGGCCTGTCACAATAATCATAGTATTGACTTATGGTACATTATATAACATACTTTGATCATTTGGCCGACCTTGATATTGGCTGTTGTGTTTACATGCATGTATATAAACATAAGGACATCACCAACATTTTAGCCAACATGATGCTCAAATAAACCGCAAGTCTAAACCCAAGACTTGGGTGCAGCAATTCTCAATTTTTTTCTCTCCACCCCGCCTGCTTGCACAAGTCCAAAGAAAAATAAAACAGCACTTCAAAGACGACACAGTGTTGCTTACCAGTAGCCTGCAGCTGCACTTTTGGAGTTGAAGAGGCACAGTCTTGATAGTTGTTAGCTTGCCGAACCCTGGCAACAAGTCAGTAAGTCAGTCATTTGTAGTTTTACCATCCAACAACTTCATTTTTCTTCAATTTTTATTAAAAACCCTTTTGATTCTTTTGATCTGAGCACCCTTACGGACTAATGGAATGTGAATAACTTACAGGGTAATCAAGGAATGGAGACATGATTTGAAGTAACCAACAACCCGATTTTATACATTCAAAGAATTTCTATCAAAAACATTAACTGCTTGGCAACCTGACCAGGCGTCTCATTGAGACAGGTCTTTATTTGTCAAAATGTGTAGCTACACTGGGCTAGTAAAAGGGACTGGGTGTTTAAGTTTTTTGAGTATATTAACAGGAGTTTCCTACTTTTTTAAAAAAGTATTGAATATTTTTCATAAATCTAATATCAATGTCTGAATATTCTCAGCTCATTACTCTTTGTACCTGCATTATTATACCATTCTTTTATTATTATACTGTATCAGTGGGATAAAATGGTCTTGAAATGACAATAATATTGTTTATTGCAATTATTTCTAGGAAAATATATCATCAAACAAAACTAGTTATTATGACAGGCCTACAGGTGATTTAGGAACAGTTTTACCATTACATATTTGACATATGACTAGATACAAAATTTACAGCAATAATTGATATTTTCGCCACATAGGGGCAACAAGCTGTAAACACAACACTGATGTATTAGTCATAAAAAGTCAATTATTCTACTTTGTGTACTAGTTATGATGTACCAATAATATCAGCATGTTGGCTGATTCTGATATTTCATCATAAAGCCAGTACTGATACTCATGACGTGCCGATATTATGATGCATAGAATTATTTGTTTTCCTAGCACAAAAATGTTATTTATAACAACATAAACAAAATAAACAACAATATAAAAACACTGGCATTGGTAGTGGCTATTGGCTGATATTAGTATTGGCCCAGAATTTTGAAATCGGTGCATCTCTAAAAATTCCGGCTGTAGAAGATAATCCTATTTGTTCATAGTGTCCGCAGTTACTATCTTCATTTAAAAAAAAAACTACTACCTTCTGCCAACTACAAGCAAATGAAGACAACAGTACTTCAATAGCCTATCAAATTGCAGTAGGGTAACAGACAGCCCAACTTGGTAGATATCAGTATGAGACCCAAAGCTATCAAACATGTCACATCCAATAAAGCTGCACTATGCTCTAAGAAATGTAAAAAGTAACTCTTTAACTTTAAAAACCTTCATTTTATTAGTTTGCCTTTACTTAAAGACTATGTTCTTATATTTCACTTATGTGTAATTTCTACTGCACCTGTGGCGTCTGGCAGAAAACAATATTTTGAAAGTGGCTCCAACCCACAGAAGGCATCATTTATTCCCCAGCTTACAGCTTATAACGTCCAATATTTTTAATCAAACTGAATGACAAGAGGCCTATGTACTTAATGTCAAAAATATGCAGGTGTTTCCACCACAGGAGTCTAATCAGTTTAAGAAATGAATTGTGAGGAATCTGGAATCACTCAGCCATTTCTGCAGACCAGTTGGTATTCATGAGGAGTTACTAAAGTGTATTGCAGATTGTTCTTCTGTGCATTGCCTAAACTACCAGCTATGTGTTTGTGGAGACTTGATGGTCACATTTTGTCTGGAAAACATTTAAAAAGCATCATTTGTATGCGGAGCAGAACAAACCACACCAACATTTCGCTCTAAAAGTTCTTTTCTGCCGGTCATTTTTGTCTCCATTCACAGTGAAGAATATTCAAACAGGTCAGAGAGCGTCTGCCTCTATACCCACATGACCTCAGTTCTCATCTGTCCTGCTGCTGCTAATGAAGACGTGCCTGTGTAAATGAGGATGAGTTGAGCCTGACTGCTTCCAAATATGAAATGTGAGCCCCTAATGGAAGCTGGGCTGAATTAGTAATAGAAAGCAGAGATAGCTCAGCTGTGTCCGTGGAAAACGAAATAAAAGCTTTTAGCAGCTGTCCCTCTCTGAATCCCCATTTCTCCAACGCACAGCAAGAAGCTCAGTCATATATTTTAATGAATTTCCAGGAAAAAACTTTCAGCATGATCTATTGCTGTTATTTATTTATCGTCCTAAAATATAATTTTGGCTCCATGGCTTGAAGTTTTAGTGGGATGTTTGATATGAAATGTTTTTTTCTGACTCATTGCTCACAAAAGCTGCTCAGCATCTGTCACTAACTCAAATGCTTGAGGTAATGAAATATTGATTAACGGTGATGAAAGTACGAAATGAGATTGTTGTTTACTTGCTCTATTACATCTTGGTTGGTTTGTCTTAGCTCCCTGCAGACCTACAAAATGAGGCTCCATGACAGTGACAACAAATGTCACATGGCGTTTTTGTGTAGATAGTAAAACCTGTGGACATGACTTTTATACCAATATCCTTTTCAGCACTTACTTGTTTTTTAAAGCTGTCCAGCATGGTTCAGGCTTGCACTTTTAACAAAATAAAAGGCTTGACTTCATTTTATAGGCCAGAAAATCAACACACTACCAGAGAGTCTCACATCTCAGGCTTTCTAAAAATGTTGACGTTTGTTAATAAAAGTTTCAGGGCTTTTTCTGTTTGGAATGTTTCAGCATTGTGTGTTCAGATCGTTGCCACAAAGTGTGTTCAGGTCAGTGACCATGTCTGTTTGTCTCTCCCTCCAGATGAAGTCAACAGAGGTGGACCAAGGGCTTTTCACAGACAGCTACTGCAAAGTGTGCAGCGCTCAGCTCATCTCCGAGTCCCAGAGGGTTGCCCATTATGAGGTGAAGACGCCCCCTCACATCACCTCACATGACTCGGATACACAACACTCTTTTGTCATTAATGATAGGCTTGGGGTCAGCCTGTTTTGGCTCCCTCCCCCCAGAGACACTTGGCTGATCTATACACCTGAGCCCTGCAGCTGACATACTGTCAATACACACACACACACACACATCACACCTGAGTTTACCCAGTTCTTTTTTCCATCAAACCCCAGTACAGAGCTACAGTGGAAATGAAGGAATAATAGCAAAACCAAATATAGTTTCAATGATATGCATACATAATTTCTGAAACACTTATTTTGAAGGGGCTATTTACCCCTTTGACAACAAGAGATGATTGATGATTTTTGATATTCTTTTAACTCATTACAGTAAGAAGATACAATACATGTAACACTGTGTGGCACCATGCTGTCATAACTGTGTTAAAGATACTGACTGCAAACATGACAGCTAATCCTGACATAAGTAATAGGAACCAGTGTGACAAGTCAACACAAATGCCGGAAGAAACGTCTGCATTGTGTGTTTATGCAAACCAATGTTACATTTGTACATTATTGTGTGCAGATACATTTAAGCTTTAAATTTCAACATTGCCATCTCACCTTGGTGTCATGCCATCCACCATCCCGTCCACCTTGCGATGACAAAGTCAGCTCATATACTTTGTCACTCTAGAAACATTGATATGATTCATATGAAATTTGCAAATGTAACATATTTGTGGTTTGCAGAGACATACAATGTCAGCATTTCCTTCTGGGACCTGGGCTGGATAAGTCATATTTACACAAGAATAATTAAAGCTTCACATTGACAGCCGATACAACCACATTATGTGTGTGTTTTGTTGCAATTTTTTATGATAATTGTCTGTCCTGGCTCTTAGATGCCATTGCAGTTGTAGTGTTGGGCAGTGATGTGTTATTTTATAACCTACAGTAACATATTACTTTCTAACATGTCACAGTGATTTACTTTTTTTTTTTTGAGAGAGAGTCAAGTTGGGTAAGGGATTACAGTTTTTAATTCAGTTGTTATGGGGTGGCAGCTATGAGCAAGACACCGACCCCCAAAATTGGCCAGATGATTGAGCTAGCGCTTTGCATGGTAGCACACTGACATTGGTGTATGAGTGTGTGTGTGTATGTGGGAATGAGAAGTGTAAACCTCTTTGGTAAAAATAACATAAGCATTTGCCCATGAATTACATTAAGTTTACTAATCCCAGTAACAGTCACTGATATTGACATGGAGGGCGGCCTACTCGGAGATAGTCTCTGGGTATTCGGTGGAAATACTGGTCCGGGATTAGTTTGCTTGGCAGAAGGGCTACAGTTGTGGAGATTAGGCTAGCCTTTACCAGAAGAGAAGAGCAAAGGTCGTCCCAGAAGCTCTTATTTCTTCTTGAGTGCTGTTTGCAGTCATCAGGCCAAAGCTAGTGAGCACCAATCCAAAAATAGGCAGGCTACTTGTTAAAGCTTTGTCTTGCTTTCTATTAAGGTATTGAACGCATTTAGATGCGATGTCTGATGAGCACATTCACAAAGAATGGATTGCGGCCACCCATGATCTGGGCATCTATTACTTCTATCTACCACGTCTCAATGTCTGATTCACAGAGGATATTGTATGAATACTATTACAGCATGTTAGTTTTACAGCTGAGTGGAATTTGCCCTTCTATTGCCTCTGATTGCAATTATCTATATCGCAAAGTATAAATGTTGCCTTTGGGCCAAGAGCACAGTAAACAGAACAGTTACAGATAGAAAAAGTAAACTGAAATTTTCAGACGGCAAGCTAAAGGTCCTGACAGATGAACTTCAGAGGCATTCCTCAAAACTTCAGCCAAGTAATTTTATCATGACAGAAAAGAGACCGTATTTGGGATTTAATATCCCAGTCTGTCAGTGCTGTTGGTGTTTTCAAAGGCACACCTTCAGACTGTAAAAGAAGATGGTATGAGTGGAGGATAAAATATAAAAAGATATCGTTAAATGCACTTCAGTTTCCACCAGCTCTCTAAAGACGCTAATAATTTCACTGTAACTGCGTGTTGCTATCAGGGCTGATCTTTGGAAATTGGACTGTTTTTGCAGTGAGGCTCATTTGCCTAGAAAGGGGCCAATTTCATGTCAGAAGTATGCATATTACCTCATTTACATTCAAACAAATAGCACAAGAGCACAGAGATTTTCTTTGCTTGTCAAGGGAGTTAGAGATGCATTTCATTCTTTTACATGTATAGCTGTAGCAAAGGCTGTCCAACCATTCTGTGGATTCACCCCTGAGTGTGGAGGTGTTTTAAAGTCATCTCTGTGTTATTGGTATCAGACTATATTTTTGTGTTCCATTAAGTGTATTAACATCCTTTGGTTGTTCACTTCAATATGCAGCTGTACGTGTTCCTGATTAGCTAGCTATTAGTGCTTTAACAATATTAGAGATCATGATTGGATTACCTGATTTACTATAACTGCTTCATTCATGCTTCACAACCAGTGGTTCACTCATGAGCTGTGTGGCCACCAGCTCAGTGTAAAGGTCCAGACACCAGACACACCAAACAGACGTCAAATAACTAGTGGCAACAAAGGTCAAGTCACCTGAGAAGACTATAGCCAACAGCCATCTAGCACATACGTTCTGAGACTACATGTGAGAAAATATTTCTCCATACCAGCAGGTGGCAGTAGTCTGTATTAGTCAGGATGGATTCAAGATGCAGATAGCCAGTTAGCACATAAACAACACAACCCAGTGTTGAAAGAACAAATGATATTTACCGTGCGCTAGGGCTGGGCGGTAAGACCTAAAATTTATATCACAGTATAAATCAAATCCCTTCACGGTAACGGTATATATCGCGGTATAAATTTAAGTGTAAAAGTTATAATAGAAGTGTTTCTGAATGGGTTTTGTAGTCCCTTAGCAAAGCTAAATTGATTAAAAAAAAAACAACAACAAAAGCAAAGATATAATGTATTTTTTAGAGCATTTATTGTGCAGAATGCAGATCTCAAAACTCAAAATTAAAACCCAGTACTCTGTGGTGCAAAATGTCCCCTGGGATCTATATCAAAAGGTAATTTCCTTCTTTTAGCAAAATCCTAAATGACTGAGTTGTGTTTTTTCCATCTGGACCTTTATGCTCTGCCAGTTCTCCTCTAATCATCACGCTGTAACCTGTGACAGGCTGCTATGATACCACAACTATCACACATTCACATATGGAGTTTTTTTTGGAGCCCCTAGCATCACATAGGTTTACATTACCAAAGGTTTATGACAAACTCTCTTGCTGAAAACCAACTCCCGTGCGCGCACGGCGAGAGAGGAGAGGGAGAGACGCTGTGCTGCTGCCAGAGGAGACACTGAATGAGTTCCCTCTGAGCGGTAAGTCGCTAAAAGAGTCTGAGAAGCCCCGGGCTGTTCATAAGACATTAACTCACTCACTCACAAGTTCTCCAGCAACACATGTTGCACGTGCTACGCTAAATCACGGACGTGAACCAGCTCCTCTTGCTCCGCTGTCTCTGTGCTCGCAGCCATTTTCACACTGAGGCAGGTGCGATGACGTCATCGACGATAGGACGTTAGAGCGCAAATCTCTACCGTGGGCCAAATTTATATCATTTCTACCGTCTACCGCATATACCGTGCAGCCCTACCGTGCGCTGGGGAACAATAACACAAACAATTACGAACTGTTTCAGCTAAAGAGCTCAGTGGTTAAAAAATCTCACCTAATATAACAAGTGTGTTTCATTTGCACGACATTGTTTGTTTGCTTTCCGCACGTCTTTTTCTCCTCTGGTGCACTGAACTGAACTGCCAATCAGAGTAATTTCATTCACAAGCCGCTCCTCAACCAATTCAAAATGCTGAATTGGATAAAAATCCACTAACAAGGGCCCACTAGAACTGATTGTATGAAACATACTGTAAAAGCCTGGGCTCAGATGCTCACAGAAGGCCTGATATTGACAGGTGGCCAGCCGTTGGCTTTGTGTGTCTGTGTCCTTAGTGTCCAATCCTCAGGTGTAGAATGCAGCCTTTATAACGTGACACCTTAGTACTGCACACTATACTACTGCTGAACACTAATGCCGGTCCAGCTTCCTGCCACAGCTCCCTCCCTACCCTCCTCATATCTTTAGCTTGTGAGGAATTAGCTCTCCCAGTAGAGTCCTCATTGCTGCTTAGATACTCTGAGAACTCTTTAAGAGGCTTTTTTTTAACAAATCTGATCATGAATGTATATGTAGATTATATAAATAGGCAATTTTTTGACTTTTCCCTCACTGAATATGTATGGACACCATATATACTCCTTCTAGAATGGGTGTATAAGGGCTCATTTATGCTCGATGTTAGATACAGAGATGGACATGGATGTAGCCCTCTGTCCGTACACTGTGAGCACGTTTTCTGCAAGCTCACAGATACGGACGAAACTGAGCAATACCGCCAGAGACTGTGGGGGCAATGGAGCATAGTTCAAGCAAGATGCAATCGTAGGAGACAACAAAGAATTTTAGATTATGGTGGAATGGTGAAAAGAATCATTCTTCCCTACATGTTGCAATTTATTTAATGGCCACACAGACCTCTGCTGTCTACAATGATGCATCTGTTTAAAGTTACAATATTACGTCCTCCTTGTTAGTGAAACTCTTGACTCTGCCCTCTAGTGCCATCTATTGACAGTATCTATGCCATCATGAAGGATGCGTGGAAGTATACAAGTATTTGTGTACATAAAAGGTAGTATAAATGAGTCGTATACCTGCTCGTACCACCATCTGATTTAGCCTGACACACAAAAACCACACAAGCGACCCTGATCAGCCACATCAAGGACAGCGTGAGTGAAGCAGCCAGTTGGTTTCCTTCCTCCTGTCTGAGTGTCATCAGGTAGTGGACCTTTCTATCTCAGCAGATGCTGCCTCTTACTCACTGTCACTTTGAGTTACAGGCGTGGTGAG